GTGGTGTATGCAAGACTTCAGTCAGAGGAATCGCAAGTTTGGAGCGTTCCCGGGATACATATGGAGCTTGAGGCCTTGTTCCTCGTCGTCTATGGTTCCCAGGTGATGTCTAGCTGAGGTCTCTATAGTGCCCTCCACCCCTGCAACAAACTTCTTCGGGTCTGCAGGCTGGGTGGTGCACCCCATGGAGTCTGGTTGGGAACCGCCATGGCTGACAGCCCCTGCTCTCAGGGCATCTGCGGAATTAGCTGCACACGGGTGCTTCCACAGTTAACAGCTGTGCACCCGGGACTGGCGGTTAGACCACACCTGGACCTCCTTGAGCTGTGGATTGGGAGGGCAGGGGGCCCTGTGCAGGGGGAGAGCGAAGAAGCTTCGAGCGTGTTGCTTCCTCTTTGGTCAGGGTTTCTAAGTAAAACAGTTCAGGGACGTAATCCTCCCATGTTCTTCCTTTAGAGTTTAGACACATGCACATGTAAATACATATGAATATCCATGCATGCACACAACTGAAATGGATGCATACAAACCGAAAATGCACCAGAATTAGTCTATATCCATGTGATTTTCGTTTCTCAGGAGATGAAACTTTCAGCCCTTTTCTTTATCTGCTCGTCCTGACAGGCATCCTGGCGGACTGCACAGTTAGTCGTGGAGGATTGTGCTGCAGTAAACACGGAAGCAGGGACAAGCCCCGGGTTCCATGCCCAGTACAGGAAGACACAATCACAATGTACAGTGCCCACCAGTAAACAGCAGCACATGGCACCTGCGAGAGTCACACGCAGCATGCAGATGTGTTGGGCTTTGCCCCACACGTGCCCTCACATGTGCAGCCCCGCCAATGCTGCCTGATGCACCTCAGCTCGGACCTGAAGCTGTCTCTGCTGTGATCGCCAGACTTCAAGCTGAAGACTTAGGGTTTCGTAGCGCAGGTCTGCAGCAGGTCAGGGCCAAGCCAGCATCCTTGGGTCATGCTGCGCTGGGCAAACACGTGTCTCACGAGCATGCACGGTGGCTTTCGCTTTTAGTCATTTATTTGAGAGGCATGTTATTTTGTCTTAAATTGTGTGCGTGTGCGTGTGCGTGTGCGTGTGTGTGTGTGTGTGTGTGCTGTGGGTGTGTGTGTGTGAGACAGGTACCCATGGAGGCCGGAGGAAGGGATCTGCTTGGAGCTGGTGTGACAGATGCTGTGAGCTACCCAATGGAGTGCTTGAAGCCAAAGTCAGGTCCTCTGCAAGAGCAGCAAGTGCTCTTAGCCATCTCCCCACCCTGCATTCATCTTAATAAATGACAAAGTTATGTGTATTTCAAATAATTGCTTGACATGGAGGTTCTTTATGGGCATTTGATTTACTCGCCTAGCACGTGCTCCTGTCTTCCTGGGTCAGGCAATGGTTAAAGTCTACGGGACAATGTTGGTACTTGCTGCAGGCTGACACACTTGAGAACGTCCCACACAATGTTGGTACTTGCTGCAGGCTGACACACTTGAGGACGTCCCACACAATGTTGGTACTTGCTGCAGGCTGACATATTTAAGGACGTCCCACACATCCAGCTCTCTGCTCTCCACGGTGAATGTTCCACTGAGCTCCTTCCTTCTGGGTGAGCATCTCAGTTTTCTGGATTGAAACCCGATGGTGACAAGTGAAGCTTTCAAACAATGCTCTCCTCTCTCTGAAGAGATGGGGCGAGCGTCCGGGTGGCAGCTCTGACCCCCCCATTTCTATGAGAAGGCAGCAGTTAGCCCAACTTTAGCTAACCTGCCCTTCCCTCCACTGCGTTCCCCCAGGAAGTGTGTGCTTCGTCATTGGCCTCTGCCAAGCTTCAGGTTTTACTAAAAGGAAAATAGATGGGTTGCCCACCAGGGGGCACTCACCTTCCATCCGACAGTGTGCGGGGTGGGGCGTGCCTGTAGCTGACTTCTTGTAGCCACTCTGCCGCTAATGGGCCCAAAATGGCCTTTGGGTTTAACGACGGTTTCTTTTCTCGGTTGTCAGAGTGTGGTGACTCAGTTACTTCTGGTGTCTGAGGACGCTCTAGAGCACAGCTCCTCGATGTTGGGGTGTACTGGGTGTACTGGTGTAAGTTTGCCATAGCAACCGGTGCAGCTCACCCACCCTACACACTCTGAAGACTGATGGTTAGACGTTTAAGTTGATTTTACTTATATAAAATGTTACCGTGAACAAATGCTCCTTGGTTTATGCTGCTAGTTAGAAACTTTCATCGGCTGTGATGGGTTATTAATGAAATGCATATGAAAGACGATGATTTATTTTTAGTAAAATAAGCAGCATTCTAGCCACAGGCTTTACAGGGTGGATTAAAAAGAGATTGATTGAGCAGGTTTATTTCTATTATGTTGGTGTGTGTGTGCACGCGTGTGTATGTGAAGGTATGCATGTGTACATGCATGCACACATCACAGCCAGAGGTCGATTAGGATGTCATTCCTCAGAAGCCATGCACCTTGTTTGAGACAGGCTTTCTTACTGGGACCTGGGCTTGCTGAGAGGAGGGGCTACCTGGTCAACAGGATCCACCTGCCTCAGGCTCCCCAGTGCTGGGATTATAGTCATGTGCCATGCGTCTAGCTTTTTACATAGGTGCTGGGATGGAGCTGAGCTGTCAAGCTTGTGTGGTGAGCACTTTCCTGGCAGCGCCATCTCCTCGGCCCCAGGCTGATGCTTTCCACACTGTCCACACCACACACAGCTGCAGGGTGGTGAGTCCTAGAACGCTGAAGTGAATCTGAAGAAAATACATCTTCCTACCTGGACCCTTAGATCACAACTCCGTGATCTTAGCTAGTCTAGAGGGTTAGGCGGGAGGACGGCAAGTTCAAGGTTATCTGTGAGACTGAGTTGTCTCGAAGTCGAAGGTGGGCTGCAACTGTAGCTGAGTGGTTGGCGCATGCCCAGCACGCGTGGGGTTGCTGGGTAATTTGCTAGTTTAGTCGCTCAGTGTTAGGTCGGTGCTTTGCCATGGAGATCTAGATGGGGAAAATAAACCTTAAACTCTTCTGTTGTGGGATATTATTTTAACTGGGCAAAGATGTGTTACATTTGTTTAATTATCTAAAAATATGTTGCACTTGTTTTTACCTTGCCTAACTCTTGATTGGTCTAACAAAAAGCTGAATGGCCAATAGCTAGGCAGGAGAGGGATTGGTGGGGTTGGGGGCTGTGGGAATAAATAGGAGGAGAAATCTAGGCTAGAGAAGAGAAGAGAGAAAAGAACAAGGGAGAAAGAGAGGGACATGCCTGGACCCAGAAGTCAGGCAGCTGACAGACAGACAGACAGACACAAAAAACACGAAAGTAGGACATACAAAAAGAAAGAAAGAAAGAAAAAAGGTTAAAAAACCCAAGGCAAAATGTAGATAAAGAGAAACAGATTAAAATAAGAGCTAAGTTAAGGCTGCGCGTTCATAACTAATAGTAAGTTTCCATGTCGTGACATGGGAGCTGGTTGGTGACCCAAAAGAAAGCCTACTAAACTCTTCCCTGTATGATATTAATCTTCACAGCTGTGAGAATCCCAGCTCCCTCCCTGAGCATCCACAGGAATTCTGGTCTGACCTCGGTGTGTTGTGCTAAAGAATATAAAACCAGGTAAGTTGAGTCAATGACATCAGGCTGAGGAACATCACCTCCAGCTGACACCCACAGAGATGAACACATAATCCAGGGCTCTGACCCAAGTCAGAGAACTGCTTCAGTCTGGATCCAGCTCTGCTGCACACCCCACACTCCCCAGACTCTTGCTCTCAGGACTTCAACTGAAACCTGGCAGGACCCCACCCTCATCCCCCAGGATGCCCAGCTGTTATGGAACTGTCTTTTTGTGCACGGTGAACATGTGTTGCTCTCATTGGCGTAATAAAGAGCTAGTGGCCAACAGCTAGGCAGGAAGAGGTTGGGTGGGACTTGTGGGCAGGGAAAGAGAGAGCGTGGGGATGAAGAAGGGCGGAGTCACCAGGAGACGCAGAGAGAAGCAAGATGGACTTGCCATGCTGAAAAAAGGTACTGCAACACTTGGTAGTTCACAGATAAGAAATATGGCTTAATTTAAGATGTAAGAGCTAGTTAGTAGCAAGCCTAAGCTATCGGCTGAGCATTTAGAATTTATTATAAGTCTCCGCTTTGGTTATTGGGGAACTGGTGACCCCAACAAAAAACTCCACATACACCCAGCTTCTGCTTTGAGTGTCTCCCTTGAGGACTGGACTGTGAATAACCATGGGGACCCGCATCTGCGCTTCTGGAGGCCCCACTGAAATCAGCAACAGTTCAGGAGCTGAGCTGGAGAAGCCCCTCATGTCAGGACTACACCGTGACTCACCTTCAGTTTCCATTAGCTTCTCAGAGATTCCCCTAACTGAAGAAGTGCAGACTCCACTGTCCAATCAGGAGCCTGAGCTCTGCCACATCATCGGTTACCAGGGGAGACTGGAAACTGCTCCTGGAGACGACCACAGCACCACAGCCTTCTCCAGCTCTAGGAAATGTGAGAGACAGTGGTGACATCATCTGACATGGACATCATCAAGCTGCGTGCAGTGAGCACCAGGTTAAAGGTGACTGACTCGCAGCCGTCGTCCTTCATCTCCTTGGCTCTCACAAGCTTCAAACACACCCTGGTCCCAGCAGCCCTGTGTAGGGGAGGCTGACTGCTCGTCCAGTGCTCAGACTGGCGAATGAGTGACACCATCGCAGAGCCGGCTCAGCACTGTGGCTGGATGGAAGCATTTCAGCTGCGACTGGATCAAGCATTAAAAACACCAAATTAAAAAAGAAATTGCTGGTTTCATAGAGGGCCCTCATAGTGAATTTCTAACTAGTAACTGATGATGCTGTTCACATCTGATGCTGATTGGCTCCTCAGCATCGACCTTACTCAGCACAGCACCAAAGCAGTGAATCCCCTGGGTCTTCTGACCTGGGTGTGGATGGAGAGAGGAGACAGTTTTCAGGGTGTGAGACCACCTCTCCTCCAGCATGGTGTGTCTGTGGCTCCCCAGAGGCCCCTGGGTGGCAGCTGTGGTCCTGACACTGATGGTGCTGAGCCCTCCCGTGGCTTTGGTCAGGGACCCCCGACGTAAGTGCACACCTCAGGTGCTGAGCTGCTGGGGGTGGGGGAGGAAGGGGCCGACTTCTCACTGTCCAGGTCAAGCCCCTTGAATCTACTGATATTTTCTGTGACCACCCACAGTCCCCACATGAAATCCAAACTGTTTCCCCAAATGGAAGCCCGGATGCCTGTGCTCTCAGATCTGTGTGAGAGGCCCCACGTATCAGCCACTGCTTTCCAGTTTTTTCCTGGAGCATCTGCAGCCTTGTGTCACAGTCCTCAGGGCCTGGAGAGGACTGATTATCATGATGTTAAATCAACCCCTGCACAGGGCTTGTCCTCATTGTGTTGAGCTATGACAAAGAGGTTTCTCGTTAAAAATAGGACTTCATATGTATGTTTGTATTCTATGTTGTATGTATATTTCTGTTTTGAGTAAAAAGCTGAGCTTCCTGTGTGGAAGCTCAGCTGGGTGGTGGGTTAGTTCGCTTTCTCCTCGGGAGCTAAGGCAGCCTTAGAGCCGTGGGCTCCGTGAGCCGTGGGCTCCGTGTGGGCTCCGTGAGCCGTGGGCTCCGTGTGGGCTCCGTGAGCCGTGGGCTCCGTGTGGGCTCCGTGAGCCGTGGGCTCCGTGAGCCGTGGGCCGTCCTTCTGAGAGCCCAGGGCGGATTGGAGCCCGGTTTGGTTTTGCTTTCACGTTTTGTGGCCTGGAACCGCGAAAGAGGATTGAATCTCATCAGCTTCCCCCTCTGATCAGATTTGACAAGTAAATTTGGCATTACATTGTAAAAAGATCTGGCTTGTGAATTCTCTGGATCTGTCATTCAGATCAGAGACTGTGGGTCAGTGTTGGGATCATGGTTTAAATTTCTGGAACTTCTCCAGCAGTTTCCTATTACTTAGGAAAAGCCCAGAGGCCTGCGTCAACGCCCGGCTTTTAAGTGCTTAGCTCCCCACGATCCCTCCAGCTCCTCTCTCGCCTGCGCCCTCATATTCTGAGATTCATTGTCCTCCGCTTTCTTGACTAAGTTCATGAACTCTCTCAAGTTTTTATGCATGGTTTCACCTCACCTCACGTGTGCACCCGTCCGTAAACACTTGTAGCCACCACCCTTCCCGTCTGAGACCGACGTAACCAACCTTGACGCTAACCGTCGTTCCGTTCCCCAGAGCGCGTCTTCTCTGGTTCCGTCTCCCTGCCGTTTCCGTCTACAGAGCCGCACCCTTCTCTCCTGACTTGTCTCGTTCTGGGATCGCGTCTTGACCGTTTCCCTTTGGTTTCTCACTTCATAATTTTAAGCTGAAGAGTGAGAAGAGGTCGTTGCTTTCTCCTCTTTAGACCCCCAGAGGCAGCACAGGCCTGCCTCATGGCCAGCCCTAAGGAGCCTTTGGCGGAATATTCTAGAAAGGGTGAAGAGGCTTGAGAGTGAAGGTGGGAGGCAGCTGTCAGGCTGAGGCTCAGCCCTGAGCAGTTCCTGTGTGTGGTCTTCATTAGGACATTATGGGCACGGGATCAGAAGGTGTCCCCTGCTCCAGGGCCCCCTCTGGTGCTGATCTTTGAGGAGGTGACCTGACCGCAGCGGTCACTTCCAGTCCCTTCTGGATGGCCATGGCAGGGTTGTGCTGTCTTGTTTTAACCCATCTGGACTGTTCGTTTCTAGACTGTGGGTCAGTAGCAACACTTCCACCCTCTCTGAGCAGCAGAGATGGTTTGTATGTGGGAGACATCCCTGCCATTCCTCCAGGGTTTTTGTTCTATTTTGGGACATTCTCTTTGACGGGTCTGGAGCTAGGCTAGGCTAGTGGCCCGTGAGACTCCGGGATCCCTCTGTCTCCCCTCATAAGGTTAACCCTATGAGATGTGAGCTCTGGGAATCAAAAGGCAAGTGCTTTACCCTTGAACCATCTCGACAGCCTCAGCAGAGGATGTATTCTTGGCCAAGACTGGGAGAAGCAGGAGATGGAATGGCCCATCAACTTCTCCACCCGTTTGGTGTCTGGAGGTCACAGACAAGGACTAAAGAAATGAGGGGAGGCACGGGCTAGTGAAAGGGTGGGGTGTTTGTGCTTTCTCTGGCAGTGGAGGTAGGTTTTCCCAGAACTGGGTCCTTCTCCTTTATGGATTTTGTTAAGATTATAGTGGGATATTATTTATATTTTAATAAATAAACCTTGCCTGAAGACCAGAGGCGAAGTTAAAGCCACTAGAGGTCAGATAATGGTAACACACACCTTTAACCCCAGAATTTGGGAGGCAGAGGCAGATGGATCTGTGAGTTCAAGGCTACCTTGGGCTACACAAGACCAATATAGAAACAAATTCAGGTGGTGGTGGCTCACACCTTTAATCTCAGTCCTAGGAAGTCACATGCCTTTAATGCCAGCACTAGAGGGGATATAAAATGGGAGGAGAGAGAGGCTTAGTCTGCTTAGTCTATAGTTGCCCAGCCTTGGTAGAGGTAAGACCTCTCTAGTGGCTTGGCTGCCTTGCTTTTCTGGTATATGGGTTGAACCCCAATATCTGTCTCTGGGTTTTTATTATTTATGCTACAGAGAGAGAGAGAGAGAGAGAGAGAGAGAGAGAGAGAGAGAGAGAGAGAACACAGTGTAGGCAGAGGTGGTTCAAGGCATTCATGCCCACTTGGTTTGAGTATCTGAAGAGGGACATATGGCTTTGAGGTGTCGGGTCCCTGAGAGAGAGTCACTTGGGCAGGTGACACTTCTGTCTCCACAGCTCGTTTCTTGCAACAAGTTAAAAGCGAATGCCGTTACTCCAATGGGCTGGAGCGGGTGCGGTACTTGCAGCGACACATCTATAACCAGGAGGAACACTTGCGATTTGACAGCGAAGTGGGCAAGTACCAAGCAGTGACTAAGCTGGGACGGATCCAGGCAGAGTACTGGAACAGCCAGAAGGGTTTCCTGGAGCAGAAGCGGGCCAAGGTGCACACGTTCTGCAGATTCAACTACGCCATTGTGGAGATACTAACAGTGCAGCAGAGAGGTGAGGAAACGGGGAGGGAGGGAAAGGCCAGAGAGAGAAGGGGAGGGGGAGAGAGGAGGGGAGGACACAGAGAGAAGAGGGGAGTCTGGGGGAGAGAGGAGGAGAAGACACAGAGAGAAGAGGGGAGTGGGGGGAGAGAGGAGGGGAATACAGAGAGAAATGGGGGGGTCACACACACATGTGAGGAGCACCCAGAGGGAGTGTGTGGCTGTTGATTGACAGGGATGCTTACCTGGACCCGGTCTGACCTGTCACAGGTGGATCCAAGCTGTGACTCCCTGAAGTTTGCATTAAATTCTTTTTTTTTAATATTGATTTATTTATTATGTATACAATATTCTGTCTGTGTGTATGCCTGCTGGCCAGAAGAGGGCACCAGACCTTATTACAGATGATTGTGAGCCACCATGTGGTTGCTGGGAATTGAACTCAGGACCTTTGGTAGAGCAGGCAATGCTCTTAACCTCTGAGCCATCTCTCCAGCCCCCTTGCATTAAATTCTTAAGTTTACAAAAAGGGATAAAAGTTATAGACATATTAGCATTGCCACTGTTTTAAATTAGCACTGAAAATGCACCTGTAGAAAAAGCAGCTAACAGGTGTCTGTAGTCAGCTGGAGTAGACTCATGTCTGCGAGCCACGTGCATTGGCACACCTCAGATCCCTTCCTTTTTTTTTTTCTTTTCATTTTTTTAAAAGATTTATTTATTTATTATGTATACAGTGTTCTGCCTGTGTGCTTACCTGCACCCCAGAAGAGGGCACCAGATCTCATTACAGATGGTTGTGAGCCACCATGTGGTTGCTGGGAATTGAACTCAGGATCTCTGGAAGAACAGTCAGTGCTCTTAACGGCTGAGCCATCTCTCCAGTCTCCTTCAGATCCCTTCCTTAGGCCGTCACCATGCGCAGTGGCACGCCTTAAGTTACTTTCTTAGATCCTCACAACTCACTTTACTTCAAATCTTTTATTTCCATACCATGAGACACAGATGGTTGGTCCCTGAGACCAGTCATCTCAAAGCAAACTCTTTAGAATAAAGAAATAGTAAAACATTGAAGCCCATTCTGTGGTTTATCTTTCAGTGTGAAGTCAGTCAGCAAGGTAAGCCGTTCTGTGTCTGCCTTTCCTGTTGGGAGACCTAATGGCTCTGGAAAAGTGAAGCCTGATTTTACACACGAAATGAACTAATTGGGCAGCAGCAGCCTTGCGGGGAGGGGCTGGGTGCTCACTGCTGCCAAACTGATAAAGCTACAGTTAGTTGTCAACACCGTCAGCTCTCTTTGCTCAGTGGTTAGTGTTACCACAACCCAGGAGGAGTTGCCTATGCCATGGAGTTCTTTGGAGAACTTAGGGTTGCCTCTAGGAGCTGTCGTTTCTATCATGGGAAGCTGTGTGTGTGTGTGTGTGTGTGTTAATTAATTAGTGAATTAATTAATTAAAAAATTCTCATTTTACATACCAGTCCCAATTTCTACTCCCTCCCCTCCTCTAACCCCCTCTCCCTCCCTGCCCCCACTCCAGAGGGTAAGGCTTCCCAGGGGGAGTCAAGCAAGTCTATCCCATTGCTTTGAGGCAGGACCAAGGCCCTCCCCACTATGAGCAAGGTATTCCTCCAGAGAGAATGGGTTCCAAAAAGTTCAATCACAGGATAAATCCTGGCCCCACTGCCAGTGGCCCCACAGACTGCCCCAGCCATACAACTGTCACCCACATTCAGAGGGCCTAATTTGGTCCTATGCAGGTTCCCAGCTGTCAGTCCAGAGTCAGTGAGCTCCCATTAGCTCAGGTAGACTGTTTCAGTGGGTGTCCCCATCATGGTCTTGACCTCTTTGCTCATATTCTCACCCCTCCTCTTCAACTGGATTTTGGGAGCTCAGCCCAGGGCTTGGTTGTGAATCTCTGCATCTGCTTCCATCGATTGCTGGATGAAGGTTCTCACGGGAAGCTAAAAATTAAACATTTAGCATGTCATATTTAGCAGATCTCTGAGAAGTTTGAACACCATATATCAAGTATACCTGATTTTAAACAGACTAATGTTTTTAACTACTTGCTTTAGGATTAACCTTGAAAACATTTACAGGAGGCTGATAAAGCTCGTCCCTGTAAATGGATTGCATTTGCACTTGGCATGACTGACATGGTTCTGAGCTCATTAAAGAATCTGATCATTGGGGCTGGAGAGATGTCTCAGCAGTTAAGAGCACTGACTACTCTTCCAGAGGTACTGAGTTCAATTCCCAGCAACCACATGGTGGCTCACAACCACCTGTAATGAGATCTGGCGCCCTCTTCTGGACTGCAGGGACACATGTAGGCAAAGCACTATATACATAATAAATAAATAAATCTTAAAAAATGGATCTGATCATTTATAAAGTTACTGACCATTAATCCGCGTGTCTTAATTACCTCCAACAGTTGACAACAAGTTAACAGCTTTGCTAAGATTAGGTCTTTATCATTTCAGCCCTGCTAAGTCTGGGCCTTAAAAATTTGTCTTGAAGCTGGGCAGTGGTGGCGCACACTCTTCTTCCCAGTACTCAGGAGGCAAAGGCAGATGAATCTCTGAGTTTGAGGCCAGCCTGGGTTACAGAGTGAATTCCAGGATGGCCAAGGCTACACAGAGAAACTCTGTCTTGAAAAACAAACAAATACCAAAAATTTAATTGAAGATCCTTTATTATCAAAATAAAACTTTAAATTATAATTAGAGAAACCGAGAGCTTTCCAAGACCATAAATACAGCTCTCATAGAGACCGGAAACCTTACTGTCCTGATCCTGTCGTAGTCCACCATGACAGAATGAAAGGAAAAATATCGGCTCTCGATGCCCAAGACCAAGTTCTCAGAGGGACAGAGGACCAGGAACAAGAGACAAACCCAGGAGGTAGAGGACAAGGGAGAAGGAGAAGGGGACAGGGGGAAGGGGGCAGGGCTATTTGTCCCAGATAGGGACAAAGGCCTGCTCTGGGTGGAGAAGAAACAGATGTAGCCCATAGGAAAATGGCAGTTTATCAAGGCAAAAAAGGGAAACTCCATGTTAGAATGAGGTGTTTAATTTTAATTGGGCAGATTCATTAGCTGAGCCAAAGAGGGCCTTTGAGTTCTATACTTTGATACTTTGATAGCTGGACCTTGGTGGTCTCAGGAGGAGGAAGTGGTCACATAAGGAGATGGACCTTGGTGGCTGGCTAGCTCTAGGAAAGTAATCGAATGGTTTTGGCAAGGCAGAGGGAATGGGGTAGAAGAGCAAGGCCTGCCAGAGCCATGTGCGCCACACTTGAGCTGGCCAGAGTTATTTCCCAGAATACCAGTTTCTTGTGTGTCTTAGGCTTTCTGTCACTGTGAAGAGACACCATGACCACGGCAACTCTTTTTTTTTTTTTTTTTTTGCACACTTGGGTTTTTAATTTTTTAGCAGACAACACACACTTCCCTTACCCTTTAAGTTAGTGTGACAATCTTCCATAATAAACTACTTAAAGAGAAGCTTTGGTCAAAAATGGAATGAGATAGCAAAATCAAAACAAAATGAAAAGAAAGAAAAAACAAAAAAGAAACCCCTGCTGTCTTTAAACCCACACTTCACCCACAACATCCATACGAACACACGCTAGTTGCTTGATAGTTTGACAGTGTTTCCATGGGCCGGCGGTCCTCACCAGCGTGCCAACGGCAGAGTGTGCGCATCCCCGTCTGTTCCTCGTGCTGGATGGCAGAGGCTCACACAGATTCACATTATCCGGAGGCCCTGGATGGAAGACTCCAGAGTCTTGA